ATTGTGCAGGCAGAGAGTGACAGGACCAGGGACAATGGATTTAGACTGCCGGAGGGCAGGGCTGGATGGGATTTTGGGAATTAGGAATTGTTCCCTGGCAGGGTGGGCAGGGCTGGATGGGATTTTGGGAATTAGGAATTGTTCCCTGGCAGGGTGGGCAGGGCTGGATGGGATTTTGGGAATTAGGAATTGTTCCCTGGCAGGGTGGGCAGGGCTGGCACAGCTGTGGCTGCCCCTGGATCCCCCTGGCAGTGCCCAAGGCCGGGTTGGACACTGGGGTCTGGAGATGCAAAGCAGTTACAGAATCACTGCTGTGGGTGATGTGAACTCTGGAATTCGCAGTGACAGCCCTGCTCAGTGACCTGTCCCCTTCCCCTGTGCCAAGCCCGGCCTGTGTGGCTCGGAGTTCTCCAGAGCCTTTCCTGGTGTCTGTCACATGTGAGGGGCCTCCTCTTCCTCCTCCTGCCGAAATGTTCACTGACATTTTCCGTGCGTTCCAGCTCCCCGGGATGTTGTAAGCATCGAGCATCATGTGCTCTTCGGGGAGTTCCCCTCACCCTGCTCTTTGCTGCGTTGCCATTTCTTGTTTTCTTCTGTCGTTGAATACATTTTGTTATATAATCGTTATCATTTTCCACCACCGTTTACTGATAATATTGCTCAGCGTCTCCTGAATGAAGCGGCGATTTTTCTGTATTAGGACAGTTTGGGGTTGGTTTAGTTTATTGGAATTGACAGGGGAAAGATACAGGCAGATGTGGGGGTTTTTTTTAAAAAAAAAAAAAAAAAGCGTTTCTGGTTTTTAATCTCTTCTTTCCACGGAAGTCTGGTCCCTTATAATGGTTTCTCAGAACCAAAGTTGTCACCATGCTCAAAGTCAACAAACAGGAATTAGTTTTAAATGTGTGGCTTTTAATCACTAATAAAATAAACCAGGAAAAAAATCTTGATTTTTTAGATTTTTTTCCGCATAATTCACAATTTTTTTTCTGCTGATTAAACGTCACTGAGCTTGCTCCTTCCTTCCTGCATAGCTGTTCATTGGGAAATTAATGATTTGTGGAATGAATTTCGGGAAGCAAGCACAAAACTCATTGGAAATAGGGGAATACATGAAAGGCTGGATCACATTTTTCCCCTCTGAGGGATGGAGGATCCAAAAAAATCCTGATTAACTGGATCCATACTCCAGGAAACAAGTGCAGTGCTATTGAACAGGAAAAAGTGCAGGGCAGAGATAGGAGGGTTAAAATATCAGCCCTGCAAGAAATAAAAATGGCACATAAATTACACAGCATCGTTTTTTTGGGTGGTTTTAGAAAGCCCCAAAAGTATCAGGACACAGCAGTGCTAATTTAGAAGGAAAATATTAGATCATGTCTCCTAGAAATTAGACTTCCATTAATTAATCTCAGCCAGTTTATTGTGGTTTATTTTTTTTTTTTTTAACACTGCTTCAAGCAAGTCGAACCGTTTGGAAGGAATACAGAAGGGAACAATAAAATTCCTGCAGGAAGCTGCAAATTTGGCTAAAAAGAAAAACTGAAAAAGTTGCTGCTGCCATTCAGCTTTCTCTTGGTTGTGAGTTGTAAAGAGAATTTTTTCCTGGGTTATTTCCCAGCTGTACAAAAAAAAAAAAACAAAAAACAAAAAACAAAAAACCTGTTCTTGTTCCTGGAACCTGGATCTGGACAGGATTTTCTGTGCTCCCACACCTCCTTTTTCCCAGCTGACCTGCTGAGGTCTGACAGAAAAACCTGCTCTGCATAAATCAAAGATTTGAATTTCTACCCAAGGCAAATATAGAAATACCAAAATAATTGAAATGTGGTTGTGTTTTAATCAGCTGGAGTCTCTGGGGGCTTTGTTTTTGGCCAACTGTTGGATAAATATCTGAGAAAAAAATCTGATTTTTTTTTTTCCTTTGTTTTCTTATTTTCTGAGCAAATGTCCTTTGGCATTCTCTGGGTTTGTCTTTGTCAAAAGAGCAACAAATTCCTGCCTTGTGGGAATAAATTCTGTAGTGGGAGCCACGAGGTTTTATTGAATTATTTGGTTTTCATGTTTTTGTGCTTTCAGGAGTTATTTCCCAAAATCCAAGAAAAGATTTTGCAGAATTCAGTCAGTCTGCCTTTCCACACATTCCCTTTGTAGAACTTGTGTAAAAAAAATAAATCACATTTACAATGAAGAGCCTCTCCAGAGTCAGGATAACCCGTTAAAAATATTTCTATTTCATTTTTCTTTTTTTCTTTTAATTTATTTTAGTTTAATGTTTATTTCGTTTTATTTAAATTTGATTATATTTTATTTTATATTAAAAATTTTTTCTTTTAACATTTAATTGTATTTTTATTGTATTTTACTTATTTTCTCTATTTTATTTTATTTTTATTCACTTAATTTTATTTTATTTTTATTCACTTAATTTTTTTCTATTTTATTTTATATCTATATATATACTTTTATATACTGTATATAAATATATATATATACTATACTTTTATTCAATTTTAATTTTTACTGTTATTTTAATTATGGCTATATTTATTAATTTAAAATCTTACTTTTTTGTAATATTTTACTTTCATTTTATCCTAATGTTTTATTTGCCTTTTATTGAAATACTTTATTTTATTTAAGATATTTTATCTTAATATTTAATCTTTTACTTACATTTTATCCTATTATTTTATTTGCTTTTTATGATAGTATTTTATTTTATTTGCCTTTTATTGAAATACTTTATTTAAAATATTATCTTTTACTTACATTTTATCCTATTACTTTATTTGCTTTTTATGATAGTATTGTATTTTAATATTTCCTTCTAATTTCATTTTAACCTTTTCTTTCTCTTGCAACATTCTCAATGTAATATTTTCTTTTCTTTTGAACATTTGTGGTCCTATTTGCTGGAATATTTCCGTTGTAATATTTGATTTCCCTGTCATTTCTGCCAGGCCAGAGCAGCCTGCAGAGCCCAGGCAATGTGCAGGTGCACGTGGTGAACACCAACTTCACCCTGAGCTGGAATTACAGCAGCAGCCACCCCAACGTGACATTTTCAGCACAATTCCAGTGGTGAGTGCAGCCAGGGCCCTGCTTTGGAACACAGGAAGGCAGAATGGAAAATGTCAACCCCTCCCTGCTAATTATTCATGTTTGGAAATGAAGGAGATCTCAGGGAATAGGAATAACAGTTCTTTACTAGGAAAATGAAAATAAAAATACAGTAATACAAAAAAGAAAAGCAGTGCCAGGGTGAGAATCCAGCTGTGTCCCTGTCACTCAGGGCTTGGTGCAGTCCCATCCTCCTGCAGTGCCAGATGTGGTTCTGCTGGAGCA